CCCCCCCCGCCCGGTGTCCCCTCCCCGACCCCCCCGAGCCGCAGAACCGACTCCGGTGTTGAAATTCCCTTTTGTCTTTATTCAGCCCCGTCTCGCCCCCCTCGACGCCGGGGGCGATCCCTGAGCGGGGGGGCCCGGGCTGACCCCCCCAACCCCGGGCAGCCCCCGAGAGACCGGGGAAAGCACCACGGAAAAGGGATTCCCGGGGACTCCCCGCCCGGAGCGGGGCAGGGGGCGGCTGTGCCGACCCCCCTCACCCCGGGCAGTGAGTGCTCTCCTCCCCCGACCGCGGGACACTCCTCGAGGTGCCCCCGCGGGGGTGGGGGGTTGGAGGGACACCTCCAAACCTTCACTGCGGTTCCAGCAGGGAATGGGGAAACCCGAAAATGAGTCTGGGGTCCTTCAGAAATCCCGTCTGACCTCGTCTGCTGCTCCCCCCCGGGCCCCGCAGGGACCCTCAGCACACGGGGAGCACCTTCAGCTGGGGGGAGCAGCCGGAGGACACCCCCCGGGCATGGTGGGAGGGGGACCCGGGGGTCCTGACCCCCACCCAGCCCCTTCTTCAGGGGGTCTGGGCTGCCCCCTCCCCACCACCTCGAGGGGCCCAGGATTAGCTCCCCCAGCCTTGCACCCTCAAAAAAAGACCCTGCAAAGGGTGGGAGGGAGCAGGTACACCCCAGACCGGGCTGAGACCCCCTGGTCCCCGCCCACCTTCCCCGGGGTTCATGCCCCGGGGAGGATCCTTCATATCCAGTGTGAGCAGCCCTGGGGGGGACCCGGGAGGGGGCCGGAGGGGGTCCCCTACGTCCGCTGGGCATCGGCCTTGGCGAAGAGGCGGCTGTGCCAATAGTCGGGGTTGTCGAAGGCACAGTCCGAGGCCTCCAGGCTGCGCAGGGGCTTCATGCAGGGGGTGGGGGGCCCGCGGCAGCCGGGGCAGCGCGGGGTCACCACGGCCTCCATCTCCTCGTAGCCCTGCTCCTCCTCCGGGGCGGGGGGGCGCGGGGGTCTCCCCCGGGCGCATGTCGGTGTAGCCGTCGTGGCGGGGGGGGCTGCCCTCGGGGCGGGGTCCCGGCCCCCCGGACACGCTGCCCAGCGAGCGGCTCAGCCGCGGCTGCTTGTTCATGTACTCATAGTCCTCCTCGTCCTGCCCGCCCCGGCCCGGGGGGGCACCCGGGGGCCCCCCCGGCTCTGAGCCCACCTCCATGTACTCGTAGCCCAGCTCCTCCAGCGAGGCCGGCCGGGGTTGGGGGGCTCCCGGGG